TTTTTTTTTTGGCTAATTGCTTTGGATAGTGATGATGACATTTCTTTTCTTTTCTTTTCTTTTTCTTTTATGATTTAGCAGTTGATATGGATCTTTCATTATAAACTGGCTTTATATCATATACAGGTTTGAAATTCGAAGGACTGGATTGTTGTTGGTGTCTGCTGTGGTGGTTCTCCCCTTCTCCGATGTGGTAGATTTTCGGAGTCTGATTTGAATCAGTTGACTATTTATCAGAATCGTCTAGGCGGCGTGAGTAGCTGCAGTTTTCGAGTTTGAGGTTCCGGTTTGCTGGTTTGTTGGATCTCTCTGCTGGGAGCGGCTTGTGTGCCGTTTCGGCGATCGGGGCGTTATGTTTGCTAGATTTAGGAGTGGTCTTATTTTATTTATACATTACGTGTGTGTTTTTCTTTGTTTTTCGGTTTGTTAGTTCAATTTCGTCTGGTTATAGTTTCCTTAATGGAGTTTTGTTTAGTTGTGGCAGTTGTCTTCTAGATGGAGATGTACCCCTTGGATTCTTCTGGAATTTTAAGGGGGGTAGGTCTACGTTTTCTGGATCATGGGGGTGTATTCAATTAGTATTTCTAAAAACTTTTTAAGATTTTAGAGATCCTGTTGTATTCAAATTAGATTTGTTAAGGTTTTTAAGATTTAAAAGTCTTGGGATATTCAATTGAGATTTTAAAAAGTCTTATAAAATCCTGAGGTATTTAACTTATTTGAAACTAGAATTTGTTAAAACTTTTTAAAATTTGGTGAAATTTCTAAATAAAAAATTTATACGAAATCACACTTCAAATTTTACCTTTACTTAAATTTCATAAAACTCTTTCAAAATCTGAAAATCTTAAAAAACCTTAAATCTTAAAAGGTTTCAAAATGTCACTTAAAATCTCAATTTAAGAGTGTCAGTTAACACTCATGGGTCATCTTTTGAGTTTTTCAATTATGAAAGTCTTTGACATCTAAAAAAAAAACATAATATTTGATTCATACGTACTTTTGGTCCATCCCTTTGTTATATCAAAGCAAAACCTACAACGACCAATTAAAAAAAAAAAAAAAAACCAAAATGTGCTTAGATATAACATTTTTTGGTTTTGTTTGGTGAATTTTGAAATGGTGATATTGATTATGTTGTTAGTAGAATTTTGAATTTATATGAAAATAATATTCAAAATAAACAATTAGAGTTTATATGGCATAACAAAGATTATAACCAGTGACTTTTGGTGATTCGATTGTCCAAATTTGATGGGTGCTCATTTTGTTCATCTTTTGATGATATAAATTAATTTTTTGTTAATTTTGATGTGCTCATTTTGTTCATCTTTTGATGATATAAGTTAGGAAAATTCTAAGGTACCGTCAATGTTTCTAACCATTGGATACACATATAAATATTTTTATGGATAATCTACGGTAATCAACATTGACGGAACCATGAACTATAGTAATTCCCTTTAAGTTAATTTTTTTGTTTTCAATTCACAGGTGCCATCAATTTGAAGAGCCATTTTTGTACACATGTTTTTAATTTATCCATGCTTTTATATATATATATATA